CTTGTTCAGTATTACCAAAAAAAACAAATTCAATTGTTTTTTAAAGTTAAATAGGCCTTTGAAAAGTAATTTCTTTATAGGATTTCTTTAAAATCGCGAATAAAATGGAATGGCGCATTATTTATTTGAATATCAGGTGGGATTTCGAGAGTTTCGTTAGACCTGACAGGCAACATCAACGGATCGACTATTGTGTCGAGGGTTTCAGAGCCAACTTTCCTATTTTCTCCGCACTTCTTTTATCATCATTTATAAATAGCGTGTTCTAAAATTACCGGGCACTTTGGCGACGGCGCCTGAACGAATTCATCAAAGACAGCGAAAAAGACACCGAGCGTATAGGAAAAGTCGATATGTTTTTTTTTCTTCTCTTTTTCTTATGCATATTCAATAGAAGATAAACCTAAAAGCAAAATCTAAAGGAGGAAAAAAATGTATATAGAGAGAAAATGAAATTCTTTTAATTTTATTATTTATTTTCTTTAAATTCGAAAAATTAGCCTTCATTATATGAATTTGGTGCAAATTCGTGCACATATAAAGAAAACCTGTCATTCAGGTATTTAAATTATTTTTGCGAAATTTCTGCCAAGTGTTCGATTCGTTCCAATTTCGGGCGAAACTGTCGATATTGTATATTATCTAAATTGTCTCTCTCTTTTTCTCTCTCTCTCGAACTTAATGCGGAAATATTATATTTTTAGATAGGAATTTAATTTTATTGACAATTTCAGTTTCGGACCTTCAAATGAACGTCGATTTTTTTTTAAATCTGGTGACCCACAAGTTTTGAACGTTCAAGTATGAACGAAAAAATTTTTATCAAAAAGATTTCTATATATAAATTACAGCAATTAGAATAAAAAATAAAAACTTAAATTTTTGCATTTAGAAACTTTATAATAAATTTTTTTGACAGTCAAGCAAAATTAATTATAATAAAAATTTAATTTCAAGAAAAATGTGAATAAGGTTCAGAACTTTAGGATCATTTAAATCTTCACATTTGAATTTCATTATAAAATAGCAACTTCTTAGTATCTTTCTTTAAATAAAATTAGCAATTTTAAAAATAATAGAATTTGAAAATTTTCTATAATTGAAATTTTTGTTGAAAACACTAAAAATATTCAATTTTGGAGAAATTACAAATTATTGCAGAAATTTAATTATTTAAAAAAAAAATTAAATTCTTCTTCTAAAATTCAACTATGTTCAAAATTTGAAAAAAATTTTCATAAAAATCCCAATTATCTTTATAAATAATAAAATTCTTCTCCAAATTTCAATTATTTTCATAAATGTCAAAAAAAAATTCTTGTCCTAATTTAAATTATTTTCAAAAATAAAATACATTTTTCTAATTTCAATGATTTTCAATATCTACTATTTTAATAAAATTTTCCAAAAAGAATTCAATTATTTAAAAAAATTTTTAATAAAATTGTATGCCAGCATTTAATTATTTTCATAAATAATACAAATTTCACAGGAATTCAATTATTTTCATAAATAATAAATTTTTTTTTAAGAATTTTAGTTCTTATTTTCATAAAAAATAATTTAGAATTCTAGAAAATAATAATTGAATTAAAATGATGAAAATAATTTTGATGAAGTTACAGTAAAAATATTCAATTATCTTAAAAAATATTAAAATTCTTCTCATAAAATTCAATTATGTTCAAAATTCAAAACAAAAAATTCTCGTCAAAATCCCAATTACCTTTGTAAATAACAAAAATTTTCCCCAAAGTTCAATTATTTTCAAAAATGACAATAAAATTCTTGTCTTAATTTCAATTATTTTCAATATCTACTATTTTAATAAAATTTTCCGAATTTAATTATTTAAAAAAAAATTAATAAAATTGTACAAAAACATTTAATTATTTTAAAAAATAATAAAAATTTCACAGAAATTCAAATATTTACAAATTTTTTATAAATTTCTTCTCAATAATTCAATTATTTTCATAAATTTTTAATCATTATAAATTATTATAAAACATTAAGAAATCGATCACTTCGAGTCTTTGACTCGGAGCAATCGATGTCTTCATGTTTTATAACAAATAGTTTTATAAGTTGTTTAATTAATTGAAAAACAATATTAAGAATTTAATACAACTTTTTTTTTTATTTATAAAAATAATTAAATTATTGTGAAGATATTTATAAAAAATTTGTAGATAATTAAATTTCTGTGACATTTTTATTATATTTATGAAAATAATTAAATGTTTCAGTAGAATTTTCTACAATTCTTTTTAAAGTATATTTTATTAAGTATTAGATTATTCAGGAAATTTTTTGAAAATAATTGAAATTTTGTCCTAGAATTTTATTAAAACTTTCGAAAATACATAATCGAATTTCGGAGAAAAATTTTATTATTTATAAAGCTAATTGAAATTTTGACAAGAATTTTTTTTAATTTTTAAACATAATTGAATTTCTGCGAAGAATCTTGTTATTTAGGAAAGTAATTGATTTATAATGAAATTTATTTTATTTTATTTTATTTATTGAAAACAATTTAATTGCTTCAAAGAAAATTAAAATTCTTTCGAGAAATGTTCTTAAAATTGTATTTAAAATAATTGAATGCTTATAAAGAATCTTTATTAAAATTTTTAAAAACATTTGTATTTCGGTGAAGAATTTTATTATTTATAAAAATAATTGAAATTTTGACAAGAATTTTTTAAAACTTTTTAATTAAATTTTTTAATTATAATAGTTGAATTTAATAATTTAATTGAATTTTATAGATGTAGGTAATTAATTTTTGAGTAATTGAATTATTGCGAAGAATTTTACTATTTATAAAAATAATTTAAATGTTTCGAAGAATTTATTCAAATTTTAAGAAATAATTAAATTGTTATGAAGAATTTTATAGAAATATTAGAAAATAATGAAATTTTTTCGTGAAATTCAATTAAAGTTGTTTCGAAAACAATGGAATTTCTTTAAAGAATTCTATTAAAATTATGTATATTCAAAATAATTGAATTCATAACAAGAATTTTATTATTTTTTGAAAATAATTGAATTCTTTCAATTTTTTTAACGAATATATTTAAAAATTGAATTGAAAGTAATTTAATTTTTATATAGAATTTTTTAAAAATATTTTGAGAATAATTGAATTATTTTTTGAGAATTTTAAATTCTTGTTGAAATTGCATTTTATGGAAATTTTTGAAATTAATTAAATTATTTCATGTAATTTTATTTAAATTTGATTAAAAATAATTTAATTCCTGCAAAGAATTTTTGTATTTATAAATATAGTTGAATTGTTTCGAAGAATTTATTAAAATTTTAGGAAATAATTGAAATTTATGGAAATATTTAATAAATATTTGAATTCATCCGAGGAATTCAATTAAAATTCTTTTTTTTTTGAAAATCATTGAATTTTTGTAAAGATTTTTCTATTTAAAAAAATAATTGAATTGTTTATAAGGATTTATTTAAATTTTAGAAAATAATTAAATTCTTTCGTGAAATTTAAAAAAAAAAATTTCTAAATTTGAACAGTAATAATTAATTTTGTACTTAATAAGTCAATTTTTTAAATTTTGATTATGAAATTATTTAATTTAATTTTTATTTACTTCATTTTTGACTGCAAGTGTGCATTGGGAATAAAAGAGAATAAAAAAATTGTGCAGATTTGAGGCAATAAAATTTGAAAAGTATTTGTCCAAGTATTGTGCCAAGTTGGACGGGAATATTTTATTACAAGAACGGAAATAGCAGAGTTCAGCAGTTCAAATCGCTTAGTATCTGATGTGCGAACAGAACTTTCCTTCAAGTGCACCTCATTTATAAATCATGGCCGGGGAACTCGGTTTCGCCAGTCAGATTGACTGGAAATTATGCAGGTCGTATCGCGTTCTATTTAAATACACTTTTTAGCTTCTAACAAAAATCGCAGTAGTTCAATTATAAAGAGGAATTCTTCAACAAAGAAAAAAGAAAAGAAGAAAATAATAAATCAAATTTCTATTCTTCTCCTATCAACTTTGCGATAATTTTCAATTAAATACATTTCTACTTTCATTTACATTTATTTTACTAAAAATAAAATTAACAAAATAAAATAAAAATTCGTGATACTAAATAAAAATAAAAAACTGTTTAATTTATAGAAAGTTATTTTTTATTCATTACAATTTTTTTCAAATTCAATTATTTTCAATCATTTCAATTACACAATTCTAAAAAAATATTTCAATGTAATGTTTTGAAGCTAATTTTCATCAATATTTTCATTTTAAAAATATTTCATTAAAATTTTTGAAAATTCAATTATTTTCAAAAATTGAAGTTAAAATTCTTTAAAATTCGCTTCAAAATTCCTCTTTCAAAATTTTAATGAAATACTTAAATAGAATCAATTGTTTTCAATGAAAATGTACAATATTTTAATTATTTAAAAACTTTTGTGTCATATATTTCAAAAATTTAATTATCCTAAAAAATTTGATTAAAATTTTTCTATTTTGAATTATTTGACTATACAGTAATTGTTTATTTGAATCAAATAAATGTTCTGTATATTTGAATCGAATAGCTTTGTTTCAAATTTGATTCAAATCATTTTTTTATGTAAAGTAATAGTAGAATATAAAAATAGCAAAATAGTAAAAAAAAATAAAAATAGGAAAAAATGATTGAAACAAAAAGAAGTGAATTTACAAAAAAAATTCACCAAAAGAATTCACAATTTCGTTCATGATTGGTGTCGGTGACATCATTTTATTTAATGAATTCACATACACACTTGGAGAATGACGACCCTATTTTAACTCTCTATTCGAGCCGGTTTACATTTTGCCTGCGGTTATAACATTCAGGACGAATTTTTTTTTTTTTCCACAACAAAATCGATTTTATGAAATTTTCTCAAAAAAAAGGAATATTTAAATTTTTTTCCAAAAAAAAAAAATCAAGTTTCTAAACGTTGTTTTTTCTTTTTTTTGCAGAGACCCACACTGTGGCGATGACAGACCCGCAGTTGACGAATAACAACAACAATAACGATGGCGAACCAAAGTACCTGCACAAAAAATTCAAAAAAATGGCTTCAACCGAAGTCAGCCAAAATGTGGAGGCTCGAAAGGAAGCACCTGCCGAGGCACCACCACCGCCGCCGCCAGCACCGGCACCAACACCAACTTCCGAGAGCGAGAAGAAAAAGGAGGTAGCATCCGCACAGGAATCCGCGGATAGTGAGCCGATAGTCGAGGTGAAAAAGAGCGGCTACGTTTGCTCTTATTGTAAACTCTCCTGTGCCAAGCCCAGTGTTCTTCAAAAACACATCCGGGCTCATACCAATGAAAGGCCTTATCCCTGCGTTCCCTGCGGATTCGCCTTCAAAACAAAGTCCAATCTCTACAAGCACTGCAGGTCGCGGTCCCATTCTCTCAAACTTGAGGGCACCGAAGCCAACAAGGTGAGAGAAATTCTATATTTTTTTTTCTATTAATTCAATCATGTCTCTCAAGTTCTCAACTTTCCAATGAACGAAATTTATATTCATTTCGTCTTCAAATTCAAATATTTATTGCAATAATATTCAGCATGTTTTGCAAGGATTGAGAAAAAAATCCCCTGGTTTTCCCCTTATTTCTGCTTTTTCGAGACAAAAATATGATTAATAACATATTTAATAATAAATTAATTTTGATGCCAAACCGGGAATTTTATCACCAAATTAAAAAAGGTTTTATTATTTTAAACTGTTTATAAAAAATCGCTTTTTATTTTAATTTCTATAGATATTTATACTGTTCTCTAAATTTTAATTAGTTAAAAATAATTAATTTTATAGTAAACAATCAGTCACTGATTCAAATATAAAATGTAAATAAATTTTTTAAAAAGTTATCGAATTAATAGAAATTTTGTGAAATTCAATTGAAAATAATAAAATTTCTTAAAGAATTTCATTAAAAAGTTTTTAACAAATTAAATTTTCAAAGTATTTTAATTTAATAATAGATAAATAATTGAATTTTATAAAGAGTCACATTCTAATAATATATTCATGTTTCTAAGTGCCAAGATTAATAATCAAAATTTTTATTAGTTAATTTAAAAAAAGATTCACACTTAAATTTCCTTAATAAAATTGAATTTTCGCAAAGTTTTTTTGAAAATTCTGAAAAATAAGATTTTTGAAATTTTTCAATTCTGTTGTTTCAAGATAATTGAATTTTTATAAACAAATAATTGGAAATTTTCGAAAGAATTGAAATTTCTTTACATTCTATTAAAAAAAAACTAACTTCTTTTAAAGAATTTTATTAAAATTTTTCGCTATAATTCAATTATTTTCTAAAAAAAATAAAATGTTTTATACGAATTCAATGATTTTTATAAATAATAAAATTCTTTTTAGGCGAATTCAATTATTTTTATAAATAAAAATACTAGTCGCAGAATTTCAATTATTTTTGCTACAATTATTATTCATAAAAATTTTATTAAAATTCGTCGAACGAATTAAATCATTTAAAAATTTTTTTCATAACATTCTTTATGAGAATTCAATTCTTAGAAACATTCAATTATTCATTTTTTTTATTTTTGTATTTAAATAATTGAATTCTCTTAGAATTTTTTTAATAAAAATTGATCTAAAAATGAATTTCAGTTGAAATTTTAATTAATAATTGAATATTAAAAGCAATAAAATATTTAGCGTGAATTTTTAGAAATAATTGAATTTTGAAAAGGTTTCAGAATAAAATCTTTGAAGATCTAAATTTTTCATACTTTTAACTAGGAATCCAATCAAATTAATTTTTTGAAAAAGTTAAATTGCATTTTTTTAAATTATTAGTGATTTATATTTTTTTTACATATATTTAATTAAAGAATTTCCGAATAATCGAAATTTTGTAAAAAATTGAAACGTAAACAAATGAATTTTGAAAATTCTCAAAGAATTTAGTTTTTGGAAGAAAATTAGTTTTAATTAAAGATAAGAATTGTTAATTAAAAGTATGAAAAATTCAGATTTTCAAAAACTTTAATTTGAAACCTTTACAAAATTCAATTATTTCTGAAAATTGCAATTATTAGTAAATTCTCCAAAATTCAATTATTATCTGAAACTTTAACTGAAATTAATTTTTAAATCAGTTTTTATTAGAAAATTCTTCGAGAATTCAATTATTTAAATACAAGCATAACTAATTTATTCAATAATTGAATGTTTCTTAAAATTGAATTCTTATACATAATTTTATCAACAAATTTTTAAATAAATGAATTCTCTCGACGAATTTTAATAAAAATTTTTAAGAATAATTACATTGTCCAAGGAATTCGATTAAAAATGTATTAAAAATAATTGAAATTCTGTAATGAGTTTTATTATTTATGAAAATAATTGAATTATTGCGAAGAATTTTATAAAAAAAATTTTAAACAATTGATATTTTTTAGAAAAAATTTATTCAAATTTTAGTTTAAATAATTGAATTTCTGTGAAATTATTATTTTTTTGGAAAATAATTGAATATTCGACTGGAAAATTATCAAAATTTTTGTTTAATAATTGAATTCTTTTGAAAAATTTTATCATTTGTCATTGAATTAAGAAAAATGTTAAAAAATAATTGCAATTTTGCCATGAATTTTATTTAAAGTTTCGAAAATAATTGAATTTTATCATTATTTTATTTTTCAATTTATTTTGTGAATTATTTATGAAAATAATTGAATTTTGCAATGAATTTTATTAAAATTTTTATAGTTTTATTATTCATGAAAATAATTGAATTATTGCGAAGAATTTTCTAAAAAAAATGTCAAACAATTAATTTTTTTTTAAATTTATTTAAATTCTAGTTTAAATAATTGAATTTCTATGAAATTATTAGTTTTTTGCAAAATAATTGAATATTCGTCTGGAACAATATCAAAATTTTTGTTTAATAATTGAATCCTTTTGAGAAATTTTATTAAAATCGTAGAATATTGAAAATCATTGAATTAAGAACATTTTTTGAAAATAATTGAAATTTTGTCAGGAAGTTTATTAAAAGTTTTAAAAATAATTTAATTTTATTATTTATGAAAGTAATTGAATTTTGCAATGAATTTTATTAAAATTCCGGAAAATAATTGAATTTTGTCGAAGAATTTTGCTATTCATTTATAAGAATAATTGAAATGTGACAATTTTTTTTAGATTTTTAAAAAATAATTGAATTTCTGCGAAGAATTTTATTAATTTTGAAAATAATTGAATTCTTGTGATGAATATTAGTATTTATGAAAATAATTGAATTTTGCAATAAATTTTATAAAAATTCCTGAATATAATTGAATTTCGGCGAAGAAAAAATTTATTTAAATTGTAGTTTAAATAATTGAATTTCTGTGAAATTATTATTTTTTTGGAAAATAATTGATTATTTGTCTGGAACATTATCAAAATTCTTGTTTAAAAATTGAATTCTTTTGAGAAATTTGATTAAAATCGTAGAATGAAGTTATTTATGTTTTCAAATAATTTTACAATTAAAGAAATTCGTAAATAAATGTAAAAATTAATTTTTTTGAGTATCTAATAATTTTTAGAATGAATCAGAATATTCTTTATGGTCGGGGAAAAAGTGAAAATTTTGTCTGGAAATCAGGGAGAAACATAATTAAAATTTTGTGGCAACCGTGATTATTATTGCATTATTATTTTTATGTTTCTATATTTTTATTACATAATAAAACTAAATTTGAATTTTTCGTTTTTTTTTCTTTTGAATAGGTATCAGAAGATTCGGACATAAGTCTATCGGACAGTGCGAGCAATGGAACGGGAACACCGCCTCCGCCGCCAACTTTAGCACCGAGCTCCTCCTCATCGACTATAAAGACTGTTAAGACTGGCAAGATATATAAACCCAAGTTCCATACAGCTTTGCATAATGCGAGCAATGAGACTGAGACGTCTTCCAATTCCTCCAGCAGTAGCAGCTCCTGTTCCTCAACTAACATGACACCGAATAATGTTAAACCAAATGCGGAGCGACTGCAGGAGCACATAGATAAAATAATCAGCGACAATCAGGTTATTGTCGAGTCGGTTGATCCACGTTTGCACAAACTCATGCAGCGACAGCAGAGTCTAGTTGAAATCAAGCACCACACCGAACAGCCATTAAATCTCTCCTCGGGCGATGAATCAACAATTCGAAAACGATGCTACAGCGATAGTTTTGCTCAAGACGGCGGCGGCGGCTGCGGCAAAGATTCACAGCAATTAAATAACGATACTTCCATTATTAAGGATCTCCTATTAAAAGCAGGTGATCGCCAATCAAATCACGACGACAGTAATGACAGTAATGATAATTTTGTCTGTCAATTCTGTAAAATCTCCTATATGAGCGCCGATAATCTCGAGGCGCACAAGAAATTCTATTGTAAAGGTGTCATGAGTCCCAGACGAGGAGACTTTCAACTCGATTTAGATAAAAGGGACAACAACGAGTACGATCCCAAGGTTGATTATTACAGTCTTCAACCGCTGCAATCGCCTGGACCACTTCTTGGTAATACGAGACTCGTCGATGCCTACACACCGCCGGCGAAGAAATCGCGAAACGAACCAATGCCCGGCACATTGCGATCACTCGAGGAATTATCAAAATTCCCAAGACCAAATTCACTGCAAATGTTTGGCGGCGAGGTGCGAATATTGGACAACTCAGGAGAGACAAAGACTATGAGGATCGAACCAAGGAAAACTAGTTCACCCACCAGTGAGCACATTCCCTCCAACAAGTGTGCCACGTCCGAAACATCATCCATCGTCGTCAGGTGAGCTCAAAATTACCATTTCGAAAAAAATGCCTCGACACGATTTTAATGGAAAAAAATCGACTTAATCGATTCAAAATACTTAGAATAGAAAAAAATTTGTTTCCATTAAATCGTTTATTATCGTATATTATTTATTATAATTATCGAGACTTCGCACTCGATAATTAATTTTAAAAAAGTAGCCTTCAAACTAAAAAAAGTAGTAAAAAAGTAGCTATCGAAAAATTAAACTTGACAACAAACAAAAAACTCGTTTTAGACACTTCACAAAACTGACAAAAATTCCATTCTATATTTTATTTTCCTCACTTTTTTCTAATTTTCATCAAAAATATTTACTTCTTTCTTATTCTGCTAATAAATTGAATTCATACAACCAATTTTATTATTCATTAAAGAATTTAAAACTTTATAAAAATAATTTAATTCTTGCGAAGAATTTTATAAAAAATTTTAATAATTAATTTCTGTCGACTAATTTTATGTAAATTCTAATGTAAATAATTGAATTCCTGCGAAATTTATATTATTCAGGAAAATAATTTAATTCTTATGAAGATTTTTACAAACAACTTTTTTAAATAATTGAATTCTGTTTAGAAATTTTATAAAAATAGTAAATATTGAAAATCATTGAATTGTGAAAAGTTATCAAAAATAATTAAATTTTACAAAGAATTACATTAAAATTTTTGCAATAATTGAATGTCTGTGTGGCATTTAATTAAATTTTTTTTGAAAATAATTAAATTCCTAAAAAGCATTTTATTATTTATGAAAATAATTGAATTTTGCAAAGAATTTTATTAAATTTTATTAAAATAATTGAATTTCCAAGAAGAAATTTATTACTATTAAATGTAATATTAAATTCTCGTGATGAATATTGTTATTAATGAAAATAATTGAATTTTGCAAAGAATTTTAATAAAATGACTCAAAATAATTGAATTTTCGGTAATAATTTGGTTATTTATCGACATAATTGAATACTTTTGAAGAATTATTTATGTAAATATTTGAATTCTTGGGAAGAATCATTTATGCAAATAATTGAATTCTTGGGAAAAATTTTATTAAAATCTAAAAGAATAATTGAATTGTTTCAAAAAAATTTAATTGAAATTGAATTTAAAATAATTGATTGAATATTTTTATTAAAATATTTGAAAACAATGTGAAAAATTCTAATACTTTTGTAAATAATTAAATTTTTCCAAAGAATTTAAAAAAAACATTTTTTAAATAATTGATTTTTTCGATGGAATTGAAATTAAATTTTTAAGAATAATTCCATTTTTCAGCAATTCCTGTAAAATTGTATTAAAAATAATTAAAATCCTGCAATGAATTTTATTATTTATGAAAATAATTGAATAGCTGCTTAGAATTTTAATAAAATTTTCAAAAATAATTGAATTCCTGAGAAGAATTTTATTATTTATGAAAATAATTGAATTCTTGCGAACGATTTTATTAGAATTTTTATAAAATAATTGAATTTCTAAGAACAAATTTATTACTTGTAAAAATAATATTAAATTCTTGTGATGAATGTTGTTATTAATGAAAATAATTGAATTTTGCAAAAAAATTTATTAAAATGGTTAAAAAGAATTGGATTTCTGTAAAACAATTTTGTTATTTTTGAAAATAATTGAATTCTTCATAAGAATTTTATTAACATTGTTTTAAATAATTAATTTTTTCGAACTTTTTATTTTAAATAGTAATTTAATTCTTGTGGAAAACTTTATTTGTGAAAATAATTAAATTTTTCGATTAATTAATTTAAAATGGTACTAAAAATAATTGAAATTCTTTGATGACTTTTATTATTTATGAAAATAGTTGAATTCTTGCTGAGAATTTTATCACAAATTTTTTTAAATAATTGAATTTCCATAAAAATAAATGTTATTATTAGTGAAAGTAATTGAATTATTCTGAAGAATTGTATAACAATTTTGTTAAATAATTGATTTTTTTGAAAATAATATTCTAAATTAATTGAATTCCTGTGAAAATTTTATTATTTATGAAAATAATTTAATTTTTCGATTAATTAATTTAAAATAGTACCTATTAAAAATATTTGAAATTCTTCGATGAGTTTTATAATTTGTGAAAATAATTTAATTCTTGATTAGAATTTTATCAAATTTTTTTTTAGAAATTGAATTTCCATGAAAAATGTTATTATTAGTGAAAGTAATTGAATTATTGTGAAGAATTGTATAACAATTTTGTTAAATAATTGATTTTTTCGAAATTATTTTGAAAATGCTATTCTAAATTAATTGAATTCCTGTGGAAATTTTATTATTTAAGAAAATAATTAAATTTTGGATGAATTTTATCAATATTCTTTTTTAAATAATTTAATTCTTTTGCGGAATTACATGAAAATGCTAGATTTTGAAAATAATTGAATCGTTTTAAAGAATTTGATTATAATTTTTGAGAATAGTTTTTTTATTTCTAGTATTAGCGAATTTAAAGTAGTGGAAATTCTAAATAAAAACAGAAATAATAGCTTTTAGAGGCTGAAATCTAAAAAAAATATTCAAAAAGTAGTAAATAGTAGGTTTTATTAGATGAGTGTGAAACCTGTACCTAAACTTGCAAACTTCACCAATGTGAAGAATGATTTATTAATTTTTAATTTCTTTAAATTTTTGTTTCCAGATCCGGTCTTCATTCCGGTGGGACAATGGTGCACAAACCACCAGGTTGCAGTACACCGGACACAGCATCAAACTCATCTTCCATATCTCTACCAGATAATTCGAAACTATTAGCGCCCATTGTACCAAACATATCAACAACAAATTTAGCGCCCACAATGACGTGCTACAATTATCTGGAACCACATTTGAATCCATTAACAAACATCACTGCCTACAATCCACTGACATTACCGCAAGCAGGAATCGCCAGTATTCTTCACGGTGGTAAAGTAATACCATACGTTCCCGGTATGCCCGGTCCACACACACTGACCAATTCACCCTCCGTAGACATATCCCCCTCAACTCTAACTCCGGGTGATGCAGCAACTTATAAAGTGATACCCGGCATGCCGGGCCTCCACATGATTCCACAGCCATTGAATCTCGCCAGTCCCGTGAAAATCCACCCTCAAAATGTCCCCGAAATTCCCGGCCCCCACGATACAACACTCAATCAGCCACTCGATCTTGCCAACAATAAATCCTCGAATTTCAAAACACCGGATGGTAATCGTCATTTAGGCAAAATTCCCTCGGAAAAATACCGAAGTTGTAAATCGCCATCGTTAATTATCACCGATGACGATCGTCACTCCAAGAATAATCCTATCAGTAACAAAACTAAAGAAGAAGAGCTCGCCTTCGAACAAAGTCCAAAGATCGATAAAGTATTCAATTATTCGAGGTTTGACGACAAGTCACCAAATTCCTACACAAAATTGAGATTCGAGAATAGAAAGCGACACTCGACCTGGAGTGTTGAGGAATTGGAGGAGAGAACCTCCTCCGTCGATATAAATCCAGAGAGAAATTCACTCGACAGGCCAACGACACTCAAGAGTCCCGTCTCTAAAGATCCAATTCTTCCACATGAAAATGGTCGTTTCAAACTAAACGGCGCCAAGGTCAAGCCCGAAACATCATCGCCAGTCATACTCGTCAATCTCGACACCAACAAACCGGAAATACGAAATAAATCACCAGTGATAAATCACGATACAATTTCGAAAATAGACAACAAAGTGGAAATAAAATGGAACGACACGGACAATGAAGAGTCGAGTAATCCGAAATTTTTACGACCCACTTCATTGCCATTAAAACCGGGGACATTTACCCCTAAGAAACATCATGGAATAACGCCAACGGCAAATACATTACCGCTGATAAGTCCCGAGACACCGAGACAGAGGAAGTCGTATGGACAAGTTTTTTTCAATGGACACGCTTACACTTATCTTGGTCTAAAGTGTTCGACACGATTGTATTATTGTACATTGAATAGACCGCAGCCAATGTACGTTATGCAACAGCACAGTTTGTCAATGTATTCTAACTGGAAGATTTGTAAAGATTCACCGCCGGATGTCGATATGGCCCATTACGATTCGCGTCATAGACCTCAGAATTACAGTATTGCCTCGACTAAACAAGAGGATATTATGACTCATTCGTCGCGGCGACCAACAACGCCGATTAGCTCTGACAGTGGATTGGAAAATGATAACCAGGAGAAAGCGAAGAGGGTCAAAATTTTCGATGGGGGCTTCGAGAGTAATGAGGATTACACGTACGTTCGTGGTCGAGGTAATTCAATTTCCACATTCATTTTTATATTTCTCAGGCTTGCCACAGGTCTGGGAATTCAGGAAAAAGTCAGGGATTTTTATTAAAAGTACTGGAAAAAATTAAATGTTTAGAATTTATAAGAAAATTCTGAATTTTTCTGTCTATTTGTTTGCCTCATAAACTATGAAATTACCACGAATTCTAAACAAAACCTTAAATTTTTTCTATTTTTGACAATAATTTATATTAAATAACTTAATTCTATTGAAAAACTGCAATAAAGTTATTATATTACTTATAAATCATTTAATGAAGTATTTTTTTGAAAACTTCTAATTTCAATTCTGTTGAAATTAGTTTCAATTTTAAAAGTAATAACGAATTTTTTTGAAAGAATTTAACTATATCTTAATAACTGTCAAATTTTTTTTCAGAAATTCAATTATTTTCAGAAATTTTAAAATTCTCATCAACAATATTCAATTATCTTTATAAATTCAATTATATTCGCAGGAATTTTAATAAAATTCATTACAAAATTCAATTACTTTCATAAATAATATTATTCATCACAAGAATTTAATTATTTACAAAATAATTGAAAAATAAAATAATAAAATTCAATTATTTTCAAAAATGTTTCTTAATTCAATGATAATAATCCGGGTTGACTCAAAAATTTAATTATGTTTTTCCCTGATTTCAATTATTTTTATAAGTAGCAAAATTCTTCGCCGAAATTCAATTATATTCAGGAATTTTTTATAAAATTGATTGCAAAATTCAATTATTTTCATAATTACTAATATTCATCAGAAGAATTCAAATATTTTCAAAATTAATAAAATTCTTTGCAGAAATTCAATTACTTTCATAAATAATAGTACCTATTCATCACAAGAATTCAATAATAAAATTAAATTATTTTCAAAACTTTTAATAAAATTTCTTAAAAGGATTCAATTATTAAACAAAAATTTTAATAATGTTCCCAGACAAATAATCAATTATTTTCAAAACTTTTAATAGAATTCATGGCAAAATTTCAATTGTTTTCAAAAATGTTTCTTAATTCAATTATTTTCAATATTCTACGATTTTAAAAAAATTTATCAAAAGTATTCAATTATTAAACAAAAATTTTAATAATGTTCCAGATGAATATTCAATTATTTTCCAAAAAAATAATAATTTCACAGAAATTCAATTATTTAAACTAGAATTTGAATAAATTTTTTCCAAAAAATATCAATTGTTTAAAATTTTTTTATAAAATTCTTCGCAATAATTCAATTAATTTCATAAATAATAAAACTCATTACAGAATTTCAATTATTTTTAATACATTTTTAATCGAATTCCTTGGACAATGTAATTATTCTTAAAAATTTTATTAAAATTCGTCCAGAGAATTCATTTATTTAAAAATTTGTTGATAAAATTATGTATTAGATTTCAATTTTCAGAAACATTCAATTGTTGAATAAATTATTTTTGCTCATATTTAAATAATTGAATTCTCGTAGAATTTTCTAATAAAAAGTGATTTAAAAATTAATTACAGTTAAAGTTTTAGAGAATAATTGAATTTTGGAGAATTTACTAATAATTGCAATTTTTAGAAATAATTGAATTTTGTAAAGGTTTCAAATTAAAGTTTTTAAAAATCTGAATTTTTCATAATTTTAATTAACAATTTTTTGGAACTAATTTTCTCCTAAAAGCTTAATCGAAATTTTTTAAAATTATTTCAAGTTTTTGTTTTATAATGTTTATTTAATTGAAGAATTTACGAATAATCGAAATTTCACGTAAAATTTAATTGTAAACAAATGGATTTGACAATTCTCAAGAAGAACTTTTTGAAAAATTATTATTAAAAATAATTGATTTATAAGAGAATTTTATTCAAAAATTCTAAAAAATAATAATTAAATTGAAATGATGAAAATACTTTTGCATTTCAAAATTTGTATTTATATAATAAATTTTAATTTTTGCTAAATATAAATTGACATAGTAAAAAATATTTTCATATTAATTTTTATTTAACTCAATTAAATAAAAATTGTGAGAAATAAAAACATTTCATGTAAATGCGGTAATAAAAATTTTGCTTCATTTTAATTTTTCACCAATTAAAAATAAGTTTCGTTAAATAAAAATTCGAGGAAATGAAATAATTTTATCGTTAATGAAAATTACCGTTAATTGCAATTGTTGTAATTTAATTGATTTGGTAAATTTTAATCTAATTTTTCATTCTAATTGCAGGTCGTGGAAGGTACGTTTGCGAAGAATGTGGTATTCGTTGCAAAAAACCGTCAATGCTGAAGAAACATATCAGAACACACACCGATGTCCGGCCATACACTTGCAAACATTGTTCTTTCAGGTAAAAAATCGGAAAAAATTTCGAATCAATAAAAAAAAAGAAATTCCTTAATTTAAATTCGATTCTCTTATTCAAAATTTTCTAAAATCGATTATTTGTACTGCTAATGGAAAAAATTGTAAAATTTGTTTCGATTTTCAATCTAAGTTTCATTTTCAATTAGAATTAATTATTTTTGGAAATTTAATTAATTGTTTTCGAATTGAAATTAATTATTTTTTTCGAATTTAAATGAATTAGTTTCGAATTTAAATTGTTTTCAAATTAAAATGAATTATTTAAGAATTGAAACTTATTATTTTTGAATTGAAATGAATTGTTTTCGAATTGAAATTAATTTTTTCGGAATTGAAACTAATTATTTTTAAATTGAAATGAATTATTTTAGAATTGAAATTAATTATTTCAGAATTGAAACTAATTATTTTCAAATTTAAATTATTTGTTTTATAATTGAAATGAATTATTTTGAAGTTGAAATTAATAATTTTTGAATTGAAATGAATTTTACTTGAATGGAAATTAATTAGTTTAGAATTTAAATTAATTTCTGTAGAAAAGAAATGAAATATTTTTTGGAATTATATTGGAATTAATGAATTTTTTCTTCAATTTTTCTGTGTAGCTTTAAGACAAAAGGCAATTTGACGAAACACATGAAGTCAAAGGCGCATTACAAAAAGTGCGTCGAACTGGGAATTGTGCCAGTGCCAACAGTTGTTTGCGATGAAAACATTGATAAAGAGGCAATCGCACGTCTAACGGCAGGCGGTGGAAACGCTGAGGAATCATCGTCCGAAGATGATGAGACGGAAGGCGACGAAAGTGAGGAATCCGGCAGCGAGGAACATGAAGCGGCCCAAAGTCTCTTGAGTCTCTCCCAACGTACTTCCGGTCGACTACCAGGTCTCTTGCCATCGGGCAGACCAAGGACATATCCATACACACAAACACTTCCCACTAGTTCAGTGACGACAAGTGTAATTTCAACAGTCGTCAGTTGTTCCACTTCAACGACAATCGTGTCCCAAGGAACATCATCAGTCATTCATAATGAACTCTCGAATAGATATTACTTCCCCTCGAATCGTTCATCATCCGAGGAATCACGATCAAGTGTCATTCAATCATCGATAAAGAATGAATCCGACGTGGAAATGGAATCAGCCAGTGATAATTCGAATACACGACACTCATCATCATCAGCATCATCAGCATCATCATCATCATCAGCAGCATCCTTATCATCCTTATCATCATCACAGCCAATGGATTTGACCATAAAACAAATTTCACAATCCCCCACACAACGAGCAAAGCCAATGGATATTTTAACACCAGTCTCCGAACCTGTTCTCCTGCAAACAATCGTCCAGAGTATGGAGAGATTACCACTTCACGGCAGAGAATGGAAACCAGAGACTGATGGTCACATGCTTCAGGCTTATCTCACCGAGAGACACGTAATGGACAGTAAGATGAAGGAGCAATATCGCGTGGGTAAAATTGACAAGCATATCAAGGAACGGGAATTATACTTACAGCAGCATAATTCAAATCTCAGCGTTGAATCTCATGGTGTACCAACAGTAACATACACTGATCCGACAAAATTACAACAACCCACCGTTCTCGAGTCAAGAATCAAGAATATGTCGAAGCAGGCTTCGGACGATATCAAACACGAAATCAGAGAGAAGATTTATCTGAATAATCTCAACGTTGAAAGGCGTCCATTTGATATTGATTCGATCTACAAGGATAAGGATAATTTATCGCGATCAACGAATTTACGCGAATGCTTTGAACCACGCTCCATCAACACAATACCACCAAGAACAATTGATTATAATTTAATGAATCTTTCCGAAAGGCCAAATTTCGTCATCGATTCAATGAATGAAAAAACATTCATTCAAGACGTAAATAATCGACCCAAGAATGACGTCGATCGTAATTCAATGTTCAATGCAATGAAAATGATGAGGGAAGTCGAGAGACCGCAAACAAATAGATCTCACACACCAGATTTAAGGAACAATGAAATTCGACCACCGAGTCGTGAGATGCGTAACGTGAATCAAGATTTTAGATCGACGATGACGACAACGACGACGACGACACATCCTAGAACAAAACAAGAATTTTCTGGCCAAATGGAAATTGAGGCAAGATCACCGAATAGAGAGACGAGAATGATTGCTGAATATAGAACGACGCCGGAAACTGTTTTACAACCGGCATTACATGAGTCGACGAATTTACATCAGGAATTACCAAGAACACAGGGAATGGATATTCGCGTTGGAGAGAGATTTGATTCAATTGAATTGACCAAGCAGAGCATTAACGAGAGTATTAAGCATTCGATGCAACGAAAAATGGTCGTTGGTGGTCCGCCCTTTAGGATTCCATCGTCAACGGGAGGTAATTCGAAACCTCAAGCGGAATTCCTGCAGCCGTCGAGTGGTCCAACGCCAAATTACGTTAGGTTGGCATATTTACATTATCTAACTAATTTATTTTATTGGAGCCAAATCGGAAATCGGAATCAATTCCCGGCGGGCCCACGTTTTTATTAAAATTTATTAATTTTGTCAAGTTTTCACCAAATGGGGCCCTTACGTGCGAATTTTCCGCTTTCTTAATTTAATCTCGTGTTTATAAATTGTAGAAAATTTTTACAACAGAGATTATACAAGATTCAAAGAGTTTCGGAAATCGGAATATTTTTTTCGAGAACGAAACTTTTCTCTTAAATTAAAAACTTGTATTAGTTTTCTATTAACTATTATATTTTTTTTTTATTTTGTATTATATGAGACTCAAGTCCGCAACGTTTTTAAAAATCAAACAAAGAATTTTTTCTAATTATATTCTTCTTTAATTTCATGTGCATAAATTCTTGAGGAATTGTTACTTATTAATTCAGGGTTGCCACAAATATTTATTTCAAAAAAAGTTAATTATTTACAAAAATCCTTTGCAAGAATTCAATTATTTTTTAAAGTAGTAAAATTTCTCAAAAAAATTCAATTATTTTAATAATTTTAATAATTTTCCCTGATTTCCAAACAAAATTTTAATTTTTCCCTGACCCTAAAGAATATTCTGATTCACTCTAAAAATTATTAGATACTCAAAAAAAATGTTCTATTACAATTAATTACAAATTTCTTTAATTGAAAATTATTCAAAAACATCAATAACTTCTTTTTTAAATTAAATAATATTTAATCAGTATTATTTTTCCGTGGGAATTGAAATTCTTCAAAACATTCAAATTCAAACCTTTTTGAAATTCAACAACTTATAAGAATATTTTATATTTTATTAAAATCCTGCGATGAGTTTCATTATTTGTGAAAATAATTAAAATAATTGAAATAATTGAATTTCGGAGAAGAATATTATTATTTATAAAGATACTTGAAATTTTGACAAGAATTTTTTTTTAATTTTTGAACATAAATGAATTGCTTGGAAGAATTTTATAATTTATATAAATAATTTAATTTCAGTGAAGAATTTTATTATTTATAAAAATAATTGAATTCTTGAAAAGAAATTTGTTAAATTTTGTTTTAAATGATTGAATCATTGCGACAAATTTTATAAAAAATTTTTTTGATAATTGATATTTTTTTAAATTTTATGAAATTTTTTATATTAAATAATTTAATTCCTGTGGAAATTTTATTACTTATGAAAATAATTGAATTAATTCGAAGAAATTTATTACAAATTTTGTAAATAATTTAATTCCTGTAAAATTTGGCCAAAAATTTTATTAAAATTTTTTAAAACAATTGAATTTTAAAGAAGAATTTTATTATTTATGAAGATAATTGAAATTTTGACTAGAATTTTATTATTTATAAAGATAATTGAAATGTTGACTAAAATTTTATTATTTATAAAGATAATTGAAATTTTGACGAGAATTTTTTTAAAAATTTTGAACATAATTGAAAATAATTGAATTTCTGGAATAATTTGTAATTTTTCCAAAATTCAATTTTTTTTTTAGTATTTTTAACTAAAATTCTTCTATCAATCTAGTATTTATGAAAATTGTATGTAAAAATTATTCATTAAATAATTTAAAAGTAATAATTTTATGATAGTTCTTGAAAAATTAATTTATTTTAAAAGAAATTATTGTCAGAAATAGAAAGAATTAAAGGTTTTGTATTAAAATTGTAATTGCTCAAAAATGACATGATTTTGAAGCCAAAATAAAATGAATCGTTGCATTAATTTTTCATTTTTAAAAACATTTGCGGACTTCAGTCTCTTTCTATTATTATTATTATTATCGAGTCAATTTTAAATTTTTCTGTCAAGCTATTTTTTATATAAGTTTTAAAGAATCTTAACACATTTTTTTGTTTTTAATGCAATAAATAAAATGTAGTGAAATAACAATGAAATTCTAGCCAAAAATGAAAATATTTATCATTATTTTTTATATTGCTGCGAAATTGTGTGAAATGATAATAAATGAATTATTTTTTATTTTTTGTTTTTACTAAAAAAATTTTTATTTACAAATACCTTGGAATCTTTTTATAAATTAAGATAAAACTGTGAAAAACCTTAAAATTTTATTTACGAATTGTTTTAATAAAAAAAGATATAAATATTTTTACAAAATCTCTTATAATATGGACAAAAAGTTATTTTATTTACAAATTTGAAATATTTTATAATAAAAAAAAATATATCTAAAAAAATAAATAATTACTATTTGAATAAAATTTTCTAGAATAGGGCCTAAAAATTTTAGGAAAAGTTAATTTATAATTATCTTTATTTATAAATTACTTGATTTTACTAAGATTTTATTCTACTACCCTTTATTGAGATTAGAAAAAATGAGAAAGAAAATGGAAAATAGATGATAAAGAAACCTAATGACTAAAAGCAAAATGTTAGATATGAAAATGCGTCTTTATACAAAGAATATTGATTTTAAAACAAAACTAGTTAAATAGGTGCCATGAAATTTATAATTAATTATATAACACAAATTATTGAGTTTTAAGAAATTTACAATAGGGAATAAATAATATATATTGTATAAGTTTCAAGATATTCAGTATTAATGAAAAATAGTCAAGATAATCTTCAAACATTTCCAAATATTTAGTAATTAATAAAAATCGTAATTAAAAATTTAATAGCAATAAGAATTAGAATAAAATTAGAATTAGTTAAGACCTTAAGTTTTTTGAAATGAAAAAATATGTTATTGAAAACTAGATATTATTAAAATTTAAAAATGTTTATAATAAAATAAGAAATATTGAAATTTTTCAAAAAGCTACTGTAAGTTAATCAATAATATTCCCCAGAATGAAAATATTACAAATTAGATACTAATTTTCTAAATTAAATTATTATTAAAGAATTTATGAGAAAAAAATTCTTTTTTTTAATCAAATATTCCTTGAACCCCTTACGATAATTTCATTCTAAATAATACTAATAAGTAATAGTTATATAAATTTATATTTATAATAAAATAAATAAAATCAATTAAAATCAATAGTCAATATAAATGAAATGCTTAATATTAATAAAATTAAATTTTTTTGTTGATAAAAAAAATCGGTTAATTTTTAATTATGTAATCAATTAATAGTGAGAAATTCCTTGATTAGCTTATAATTTCAGAAAAAGAATCATTTAAAAATGTTCAATATTTCAAATAGAAAAATTTATTGCGTTGCTAAAAATATCAAATTTGTTAATTCAATTTTGGTAAAGTGAAAATTGTTGCAAATCGAAAAAATTCTTTTAAACTTGTATAAAAAAAATTTAATTCTATTTTATATTTACAAAAATGAACAAATTTCTGATAAATTATTTTAAAATAATTATTTTTTAAAATCTATAATTTATAAAATTTTTATTAAAAAATCGAAATTAACTGAAAAAATCAGTCATTTTTATTCAATATAATTGAAATTTAATTTCGTTTATGAATAATAAATTATTAAATAATTGAAATTAAATTAAATTTCAATTATAAATAAATTATTTAAAAATTAATTTAAAAAAAAAAATTAAATTGAAATTTTGTGACTAATTTCGAAAATAAAGAAAATAAGAGATGAAATAAAAAAAGGTGAGTAGATAACTATCTTTATTGACGCATTTATATTTACGATAAAATCAAAGAAATCTATTGTTTAGAAAGTAATTTTCAAGTTTATCTCTCTAAAAATAAAATATTAAAATATTTTCAAAAAATTCTGAACCAATATTTGGTTTCTTTTTTTTAATTTGACAAAACTATACAAAAACTGCAAAAAATGGACATTTTCTTTTTTTTTGGAAATGTAAATTTAATTAAAGATTTTCGTTAAAAAATAAAAATTATTTCTATTTTCAGTGTAATGGAGGATGGTCGTAGTGTTTGTGGAATGTGCAATAAAGTCTTCAGCAAGGACGCAAAGGAAAGTCATTTAAGGTTGCACATCAACATTCATTATTTCGAGAGGCCATTCAGGTGTGAAAGTTGCGCAATTCCTTTCAGGTGAGAATTTGAAAATTTTACCCAAAAATTTCTTTAGAAAGGAAGAAAAAAGTTTTTTCCAGAAAAAATTTATTTCTACAAAAAAATCTAATTCTGTCTGAAAATTTTTTCCATTTCTCAAAAATTTGATGTTAATTTTCCACACTTTGTTCACATTTTGAATTAATTATTATCGAGTATCTTTTCGCAAAATATTTAATGAAAATTTGTTCAATATTTCAGAACAAAGGGCCATTTAACGAAGCATCAACGTTCTATTTCTCATCGTAACAAAGTTAGTATGACTTCCACTTTCGGAGCAGCTACCAGCAGCAATCCAAGACCCTTCAAGTGCAACGATTGCAAAAGTGCATTTAGAATACATGGACACCTGGCTAAACATTTACGTAGCAAAATGCATATTATGAAACTCGAATGCCTAGGAAAATTACCCTTTGGAACTTACGCCGAAATGGAACGATCTGGTATCAATCTCAACGATATTGATACCACAGACTGTGATAATAGTCTTGTCAGTCTTCAGGTAATTTATCAATATTTTTTTATTTCAAATTTAATAAAATACAGACCTCACATAGGATTCAAAATTTTTTCTATTATCTTTTTCAAGATTTTTTAAAAATCTTTTTTATTTAATTTTTTTAATGAAGAATTCAAAAGTATGTTAATGAAACTTTTAATTAAGAAAAATAACTAATAGTCAAATAATTCAAAAACTATTTTTTAATATAATTTTTTTAAGAGAATTAAATATATAAAAGATGTGAATTAAAAAATTTTTGAATTTGAAATTTTGTAATAATTTCTTTGAAAAATTATTGATTTTTCTTAATTATTTCAAAAAAATTTTTGAAAATCAACATTTAAAGAATTTTAGATGCAAATTTTGAAAATAATTATCAATTCTCAATAATTTTACTGAAAAATCTTCAAATGAAAATTTAATAATAAAAATGAATACAAATTGACTTCAAAAAAATAAAATTAAAATATTTTTTGAGCTTTTATTGCATTATAATTTTTTTTGAAATTTATTTATTTTCAATATTTTTTTCATTACTTATTTCAATCATTTTCGAAAAATGACTTTAGAATATTTTAAAAGAAAATCTAATTCTTAGTATTTTTAATCATAATTTTTCGAAATTCAATTATATTAAAAAAAGTAAATTAAAAGTATTTTTATACATTTTCAATTAGAATTCTTCAATAAGTTGATTATTGTTAATATTTTCCAAAAATTCGTTTTAAAATTCAATTATTTTCCAAAAATTTTACTAAATTTCAATTATTCGGAATATTTTTTAATTAAATATTACTAGAAAATTTTATTATCTTTCATAAATTATTTTAAAATATGTTTAAAAAATTAATTCTTTTTTTATCATAACTTTTAAAATTCAATTATTTTCAATAAAAGTAAGTCTCCAAAATTGTTGAAAACCCGTTTTTTATTGTAATTATAATTAAAATTTTTAAAAAGTTGTCCAGTTTTTAATATTTTCTAAAAATTTTACGAAATTTCAATTATTTGAAAGTTTTTAAATATTGATAATAATGATTCAATATTTTAAAATTTTTATTTTAAATTTTAAAATTATTAAGAAATATTTTGAAAAAAGTAAATTCAAGAATATTTTTCTATTGTAATTTTTTAAAAATTAATTATTTTCATTATTTTGGTTAAATATTTTCAATAATTCACATTAATAACTTTAAAAAAAAGAAGAGTTATAGTTAAAATTATTTTAAAAAATTGAATTTTTGTGGTTATATAAATAATTTTACTTCTAGAAGAACTGACGGAAAATTATTCAAAAAAATTCAATTAGAGAAAAGTTTAAGTAAAAAATTCTATTATTGAATCTTAAAAGAATTAAAGCTGTAATTTAATTATTATGAAGTGTTACATTATTATGAAAAATTGAATTTTCGAAGATTTTTCAGAATTAACGAAAATTTCGATTCATGCTGGAAAAATAAATATCTAACAAGTATTTAAATATTCATTTAAGAAATGTAATTAACTATTGAATATTGAATTTATAAATTAATGAAAATTCATGAAAGTACAAAATTAAATTTTTGTGCCAGCACAGAATAAAGTAATCGACTTTTTTTTTGTATTTTTAATAGACTTAAAGCGCTTTAAAATCGATCCGAAGAATATGAAAATATAATGAAATAGAGAGAAAGTTCTAAAATAAAATTTTCTAATTAAAAATCAAAAAGTGAAATATCTAAAATCGTTTTTTTTTTATTAATTATTCAGTTGCTGGCCCAGAAGCTGTACGAGAAAGATCCAAGTAAAATGGGTCAATGGGATCCGGAATCGGCTGCTAATCAAATAAATAATAAAGGTGAAAATTCATGTGACGAGAGCGATGAACTACCATCATCACATTCAATTCATTCATACCAATCGTCTCAAATTGTCCCCGATGCCGAGGCATCACGAACATATCATGTGCCAATTCACGAGGAAACAAAAACCCTTACGTTCAAGTGTCAAATTTGTTCTGTATCAATGCAAACATTAAATGAATTGCAAGTTCACTGTTTTGTCGAGCACAATATTGAAACCGATACAAGGGATAAGGATGGAATAAAATCGAGATTCATCGACGAAATACCAATTCGACAAAATGACAGTGCAAAGAAACTAGAAGATATATAGTGACAAAATATTTCAATACTGAATATTTTTTTTAACTGTTGTGCAGTTTCAAAATAAGAAGAAAAGAAAAAGCATTTTTTTTTCTTTTATCAGAGGAAAAAAAAAGAGTCCCAAAGTTCAAATATAAATATATATATATAAATTATATAAAACTTGTATCTTCCAATTAAAAAAAAAGCGTCTTTCATGGGAGCAATTTTGAGGATTTACAAAAGCAAAAAAAATTGTCAAGCATTTAAGAAAGTTTCTTTTTTAGAACAAAAAAAAATACTGATTCTCATATTGCTCTCTGTTATCGCAAATCGAGATTTTCAGTGTTATTATCTCAACGACGAATTATATTTATGTGCCCATTGTAGTTTTTAGATAGCATTTAGGGTGCTATGGAATGGCATATAGCATGTGATTCTGTATTTAAAGTGCAAATGTTAGCGTGCAAAGAAAAAGTAAACTTAAAGAAGAGTATTCTAATATTACGAATTAATAATTGATTTATTCGTAAAATCTCACATATATGTATAGATACTATAGAAATTTATTTATATAATATCTATACATTTTGTATAATATGCAATGTTATTATTGCAAAAACAAAAAGAAAATATTGTTATTTCGGAGAAATTGTGTTTTTTTGTAAATATATATTGTATAGTGACTTCCAAATCGCGCCAAAACGTTTAGTATTAGTGTTTCAATCAATTTTAGGGAACAAAATGATTTTATGTGAATATTTATATACATACACATACACACACTATATATATATAAAATCATTTTGTTTATTATAAATATATATACATAGATGAAATATTTTATCTTTGATCGAGTCTTTAGAGAAACTTTTGACAATCTTCCAAAAACCCTTCTTCCGTTTTTTGATCATGAAAGAACAAATTAAATATTGTCGAAAATTTACAAATCAAATCATCTTGAGAAATTTGTTTATTTACGTATAGTTTAGTAATTTTAATAGATATTGTAATTTTTTCTTTACAAGTCTTTTTAATACTGTGATCTCATATTATTATTATTTTAAAATAACAGATTTTTGTTCTGTAAAAAAAAATTTCCACGACTGATAGAAAAAAATCTGTTTAAGAATTTTTATATATTTAGTTTTTTTTTCGTCAATTTAACAATTTTTTCAAGATGATTCGATTTATTTTTGTAGCATTTTCGCTCAAGTGTACAATATTCTTCTGCATAATCATGTATCTTAATGATTTTTTTAAAGAAAAGAAAAACGAGTCTTTGTGTGCTTGAGAATAAGAATCATGGATTATTCAAACAAACACAAATATGTGCAATGTAAATTCAGTTTGAAAAAAAATATCAATATATATAGCAGTCGATGTAATTTGTAAATTTTTTTTATTTTAAGAGCTTTTTAAGAGATATTCTTTTTTCAATACGCCAAGCCAACTATTTATTTTTCTGAATTTTTAAATAGTTTTTTATTTTTTTTGAAAAATTTTATTCTGACGAAAAGAGGAGGAGTTTTATTTCTATATTAGAAATACTTTTTTAATTACAGAAAATGAAAAGAAAATGACATATCATTAATATTGAATTTATTTTGATACATTTGTCAAAAGTAATTGTCAAAGTAATTTTAATTGAAAATATTTTATAAGGAAAGGTTTTTTAAAAAAATTCATTGATAAAAATATTGAATGCTCAAAAATTTAGAAAAGAAATGTATTTTTCTAGAAATTATTTTCAAACCGAATATTGTATTTAACTTAATTTAGTTGGCTTGGTTTGCTTCCAGTCACAGTATTAAAAACAATAATAACCGATTGCTTTTTGTTCGAATAATATCGTTTTCTAATATTCATGATTGAATTTTTTTTTTGTCTTCGATAAATACATGAATGAGAAAATATCGCTAAAAGTCATCAATGCTATATTTTATAAGATTATTTCCATTCGTGTGTCGATAGCACATCGCTTAACAAATTGTTGGCGTCGTTTCTGATGTTTTATAAATATATATAAATAAAATATATATTATGTAATGAATATTAATGTATAAAAATAAGGGTGTTTAGGATTTTATAAGCATATACACACGAGAAGCTAAGGCTTTTATTGTGAAAAATGTCTAATGTACATTTCAATTGCCTTAGGAATGTTTATGGAGAAAATTGTATCACAGAAACATTTTTCATTGGAACCAAAATGGCAAAAGGAAAAATTTTTTTTTTTCTTTTTTTGCCAAACGAATATCAGAATAATGGGACCGGAGTAAGATTTTATTATCATATAAGTAGATATTTCAAAGTTGTAGTAGCAATTAATAGGTTATCGATCGCCAACATTTTGCCAACGCTGATGTCAAAACATTTCTTCCCCGATTTTCACAACTCTGTTAATCTATTGATGAAAATGTAATTTATTTATTGTAAATAAAAAAAAACATTGCCTATACTTTTGGAATTTGTTTTTTTAAGTTCTCGACTCGTCTTGAATTTACTAATCGGTTTTGTTTTTTTGAAAATATTTTCATATTTTATTAATTTTTTTATATTTGGAAAATTTTATTTATTTACTATTAATAAATTAAAAATTAAATTACTTAATTCATTTAAAATAAGAATTTTATAGTTTAATAATCAATTTCGTGTTTTTATTTAAAATATCAAGTCGTTCAAATTTACAACGCTCGTGATCAACGATTGGAAAAGAAAAATATTTTTCATGTCAAAAATAATAAAATGCTTTGTTTAGAAATTTTCTTTGTTTAAAATGCTTTGTTTTAGACATTTTTTAATAATTTTTAAATTATTGATAACAAAATTTATGCCAAACCTTTTTTTCTGTACGAAAATTTGCAGAAATTTAAATAGAAAAATAGTTTTTCTTCTAAATCGTTGATTTTAAAGGCTATGAATTTCTCCAACGATAAAAATACTTTTGGAATTAAAGTTAAACCAATTACAAAAATTGCTAATAAATTATAATTTTTTAGTATTTTTAATTTCGAATTTTTAATTAATATTCTTTTAAGAAATTAAAGTATTTTTAAAAAATTACAATACAATTGTTTTAAACAATTATTTCTTTAGTATATTTTATCATAATTTTTAAAAACTCTGTTATCTTCAAAAAAAGCGAATTAAAATTTTTAAAGAAATCTACTTTTTCAGATTTATTATTAAAATTCAGAGACATCTTGTATTTTCTCATTTGTATTTTTCATATTTCATATTTGTAATTAAAATTCGACGAAAACTTGATTTTATTAATATTTTTCAAAAGTTTTTTTTAATTCAATTATTTTTGAAAAATTATACAAAATTCCAATTATTTGGAAATTGTACAATTATAGAAATTAAAAAGTCTATTATCTTTCAAAAATTACTAATAAATATTTAAATTTAAAAAATTTAATTTAACAAACATTTTAATTGTAATTTTTAAAAATTCAATAAAATATTTTTAAAAAACTAATTTTTAGAAGTTTTTATCACAATTTTTAAAATTATACTATCTTCAAAAATAGTAAATTAAAATTTTTCGAAAATCTATTTTTCTTTAGACTTTATAATTAAAATTTTCCAAAAATTTGATTATTTTTTAATATTTCCCAAAATTCTTTTAAAAAATTCAATTATATTAAAAAAATTAAACTAAATTTTGATTTTAAATATACTGTTTAAAAGACAGTCGTAACGTGAAAAAACAAATATGGGAAATTGGACAATTCAACCGTAAGTGTATATTATTAAATTTTAATTAAATGCAGATTTAGTTAAAATAATAATATATTTGAAAATATTTATATAGTAGGGCGAAGATTTACATATTATTTAGTATTCGTAGTCACTTAAATCCTTACCGTAGAAATCTTAAAGTACATTCGTCAGCGAGCATCAAATACAACAACTAGAATAAAGAGTTAAGAAAAATTATCTTGCAAATTATAATTTAATATTACCTTCTATTTTACTTTCATTGCCAAGCAATGCTATTTTAAATTAAATTGTTATTTTAATTAAAAAGGATACATCTTTTTGAACGTTTCTTGTACATTATACGATAGCCGCATTCTCTGCATCGAATAGCATCTCGAGGCCTGATTTCATTATCACGATGACATTCTGTAATTTAATTTCAATTATAATTTCATAATTATATTTTTCAGACAGTAATTACTACTCTTTGAATAATAATTCAAAGAAATGTTTGTTCCATTGTCGAATGGATTAACAAACTACTTTAATAACAAAAGAAAAAACTACTTAGTTTATCCGTTTACCAAAGAAAAGTGAGGTTAGGAAAATTGTTTTTCTACATTTAGTGGAAAGTACAATGAAAAACTTACCGCCGCAAACGTAAACCATTGTCTGCTTTGGAGTAGATTCCGTCTTACTAGTCGAAGCTTCCATTTTTTATGTTAATAACTTAGAATCATTAAAAATTAACAACGTTTTAAAGAGACGTGTGTATACTTTTGCCAAAACAAAACACATTGCATGCTTCTTTGATCTGATTGGTCAGGGGTTTGTGTAACGATTTCGCGCCATTATTTAAAACGTTTAAAACGATAGAAACAAACTTTTGAAAATAATGTCTATTATACAATTAATAATTCTGTAACAAATTGTATTTACGAATAGAAAACTATAATTGTAGTTCTCGATAAAATATTTATCAAGTTTGGTAAAAAAATGATGATAATTAATTGATTTTCCCCAAGAAGTATTCTACATACATCCAGACGAGTTTGGTTGCCTATCTAAAGGCGCAGGGAATTTTATAGTTTAATAAAGTTTAAATCCAGAAAATTAATATTCGAAATCGAGAAATACTAAATACTACTAAATAATTATTTAGAAAATTAAATTTTCCGTTATTTTAATTGAAAACAATTTATATTTTTCTCGTGTATTTTATTTCAAATTTCAAATATAGATCATTAGATCATTAGAAAAAAAGGAAAAGTGTCGGTATTTAGGACAACCTTGAAAAATACCAAGGAATTTCTGCGCAGAACTTAAAAAACTACAAACTACAGCGCAATTACGATGAACTACAGGTTTCCCCAGCAACAGAACAGACGCTTTATTTTTAGTTAACAAAACTCACCACCAGAGTGCGGAAGGATCGTAACTGCACTTTTCAGTCCAATCGTATAGCTCGCCTATGACAGGCGGGATTTAGCCAGAGCTGCGATTGGTAGAAATTTATTTGGCGGTGGGGCTGTGAATAAAGTTTTGAAAGTTTTCTCGAGTTCCCACCACTGGAACACACACAGAAAGAAGAAGGACCCGCGTGCTGCGTGCTGTGGCGCGTTTTGCACCCTTCAACAAAGTGACATTTACGTTTTTAATTCAGTGCCAGTTTAGTGTTTAAAGTAACGTTTCCAGTAAGTTTAAAGTGTTTACATCGTGTTGTGAATTTTAATTTATTAAGTGTTCTATTGTGTCGTAAAATAGTTTTTGTGTGAGAGAAAAAAAAGAGAAAAGTAATTTTATTGGACTCTTCCAAAAAGAGGGGTTGCTTTCTAACCTTATTTTCTGCAAACAAAGACTACACACGGACGCTAACATCTGTCTCTCTCAGATATTCAAGATTTTAACCAATGTGCATTGGATAATTCGTGGGATTAATCAACAAGCATTATAATACGTCCGTCAACGAAGCGTGTTCGTGCTTTAAAAGGTAAACAAATGGAAGGAGAAGTGTCGTCTCAACGACTTTGTATTTCAAGTCGAAGAATGTTTTCGTGTGATTAAAATTGTCGTTCGACTTCTTTTTTTTTTTTAAATTGTGAAATTTATTTTTGTGTTTCGCCAAAAATGGATAAGTGTTTGGAAGTCATTGACAGCCCGGTGGGAAAGGTGAATGTTAGTAATCAGAGTTCTCGTAGTTCTTTTGGAAGTTATGACAGTGGATATTTAACATTAACCCCACAACCTGGATGTCAATCGCCGAGTACGGCAAGTCGTGTTCGTATTTCGAATACGTCAATAAAACGAAGTCGCTTTCGAAATGATCCCCTGCAATCGGAGAGAATTACGAGGCTGCGCTCAAAATTTTCGACCCTCTTGGAAAATACGTGCTGCGAAGAAAATGAAAAACGTATTCGCAGTTCACTGCCAAACAAATTTAATCCGAAATTATTCAATGAGACGGCAAGTCACAGCATGCTGCCCGAGTATCAGGAATTCGGAATGGAACTCCGAAATCGAAATCTCCGCTCATGGAGGGCAACTGTACCAATAAATCCAGCGGATGATTCAAAACTTTTAGCATCACCACCATCGCCGGCTATTCCAAGTTCATCATTTCAAGCATCAGAACCCGATGAAGATGTGGAAATGAAGGCATTAATGCATCAAAGTACACCGCACACGTCAACATTGAAATCGTCTTATCGTTCGATAAGAAAAAGTAGTCCCGTATTAACATCCGTTGATAGACGAAGACTCAGTAGATTAGTAATTAATGATTTGACAACGGTACCGGAAATCAAGCCAAAGAGACTTGATTTCAGTCAAAAAGGACTCTCAGCATCCTTCAGAAGAAGTCGAGCGACGAGAGATCAAACTGGTGTACCAAATGTTGATATGCTCGTATTATTGGGCGAGAAAAGTAATCATTGGCGAGTTATATCCAATATTTTAGCATTATTAAGTCCACAGGATTTGTGTTCAGTGAGTATGGTTTCAAAAGCGTGGCAAAGAATTTGTGCAAGTGATTCAAAGGCAAATGTGAGAAGACTGATACACATTAAACTCAAGCAGGATGTTAAGGAGAATCTTAAATTTCGAAAAGGAAAATTGGAAATGGATATTACGACGAGTCCAAGGAGTCGATTCACGAGGAAGGGCTATCTTCTTGAGGTTCAAAATCTTATTAAAAATGGTCACAAAACATTGACACCTACCAGTCCACCAGTTTCGCCCAGTAAAGTCAAGTTCCATTCTTTTGTCAAGGTAAGATTTTTATTATTTTCAAATTTTTTATTATTCTTTTAATTAATAATTAAACAATTAATTGTTTTCCCTTTTGTAATAGTGACTGGTCTCGGATATTATGACTTTTTGGACTTTTTCCAACAATTTTCAAAAAAAGGCGACTTTTATTATTTTATTTTCGAAAAAGTGCCACAAATATTTAATTTTATTTTTCCCTGATTTCCAGATAAAATTTTCTATTACATTTATTTACGAATTTTTCTAATTGTAAAATTATTTCAAAAATAATAGTAACTGCTTTTTTAAATAAATATTTAATCATTATTATTTTTCCATAGAAATTAAGATTTTCAAAAATTTCAAATTTAAACCTTTTAAAATTCAATAAATTTTAGGAATATTATTACAAAATATGAAGAAATAGATCACTCCGAGTCTTCGACTCGGAGTGCTCGATTTTTTCATATTTTATAATAATTAAACATGACTGAGTAATAAAATCATTATTTTATATTAAAAAAGAATATTATTACTGTAACTTCTTTAAAATTATTTTCATCAATTCAATTATTATTTTTTAGAATTTTTAAGTAAAATTTATCTTTAAATCAATTATTTTTAATAATTTTCAAATCCATTTGTTTACAATTCATTTACACGAAATTTCCATTATTCGAAAATTCTTCAATTAAAATTATATATTAGAAAATAAAAGCATGAAATAATTTTTTTTAAAAATTCAGTTACACTTTTTGAAAAAAATTAATTCTCCAGAATTGTTAGTTAAAAGTATGAAAAATTCGGATTTTCAAAGATTTTATTTTGAAACCTTTTCAAAATTCAATTACTATTTCTAAAAATTTACGCTGTAATGTCTTTAATGTTCAATTATTATGTAAAATATTAAGTGAAATCCATTTTTAATCAATATTTACTAAATAATTCTACGAGAATTCAATTATTTATTTCTTTATTTTACAATCAATAAAATACAAAAATAAATAATTTATTGAATAATTGAATGTTTCTCAAAATTGAATTCTTATAAAGAATTTTATCAATAAATTTTTAAATCATTAAATTCTTCCGACAAATTTTAATATAATTTTTAAGAAAAATTACATTTTTTCGAGGAATTTGATTAAAATTATTGAATTAAAAATAATTGAAATTCTACTATGAGTTTTATTATTTATGAAAATAATTGAATTCCTAAAAAAAATTTTATTATTTACGAAAATAATTGAATCTGTGTAATCCAAGAATTCAAGTTTATCTTCAAAAATATTATTTTAAAAAATGTTATGTTTTAGACTTACTAAAAATTAAATTTTTGAGGAATCAATCATTTTACCAATTTTTTTTATTAAAATTCTCCTAAGAAATTCAATTTATTTCTAAAAAATTACATTCGAATAATTTTAAAAAAGCTAATTGTCAGTATTTTTTTATCGTTATTTTGAAAAATTTTAATTTCTTCAAAAAACATAATTTTTTTTTAATTTTGAAAAAATCACTTATTTTCATAGATTTTGAATTGAAATTCTCTAAAGTTGATTATTTTAAAATATTTTTCAAAAATGCTTTTAAAAATTTAATTATTTCCAAAAAAATTTACTAAATTCCAATTATTTGGTTCAGTTGCATGAATTGAACTAATTGTAAAAATTGAAAAATTTCCAAATAATTAAAAATTATAAAAATATTTTTTAAAATGAATTTTCAAATAAGAATTTTCAGTAAATATTTAAAATAAATCAAATTTTTGTAGAGTTTCAATTAAAAATTGAATTTTTGTGTTAAAATAAAAAAATAATTTTAATTCTCTAAAAACTGTTGGAAAATTATTATAATGAAGAATATAAGTTCTCTCAAAAAATCTAGAAAATAATTGAATTTTGAAAGAATTGCAGTTTTAATTTTAGAAAATAATTGAATTTCAAAAGATTTGAAACGAAAATTTATAAAATTTTAATCCTTGTAAAAAAATAAATTCAAATATCTATTTGATTTGCAATTTATTTTTTTTACACTTAAGCATTTATTTAACATAAATTAACGAATTTTTGAATAATTGAATTTTGGAGGACTAAAGCGACTTATTTTGTCCCAGTTAAAGTCGACCCGAGGCCTGCAGTGAGAATCTATCAAAATTAAATAAAAAAAAATTGTCGATTCGTACAAAAATTCAGAACATGATAACAATAAATTAAATTTTTCAGAATACAAGAGTCTTGTTCTTAATTTTTATCAGGCGACTTTTAAATGAGAAATTTTTCTCAAGAGAGTACATTAAACCGTGCATATATATGTGTGTCTTTGGTACAATGTCCTGTCGAGGAATTATAACAATGTAGCTGAATGTTTGTAATTATGCTCCATGAAAGTTTGCCTGGCGTCTTATCGGAGTCATATTTGATCCATTCACAATAATGACATCCAAGAAGGTTGATTACTCTCTTCTTGGGAGTCGCATTCTCTTATCATGTCACACTTACACTGAAATAATAGATCTCCCAACGTATTGCAAGTACGTATTACGTTTCAATCCGTTAATGTAAATAGAACTTTTTTTTTTTGTCGTCTCATTCTTTCAAGGGACACCGGCTTTACAAATTAAGACATCGAAATTATTAAATGAGAATTGCTCTTTACTTATTATTTAATAGTTAAAATTTTTCCCTCCTTGTGAGTTTTAATAACTTTTACAAAAAATGAAAACATTTCGTTTCATTTGAACGTTCAAAACTTGTAAATCAAAATTTTGTCAGAAATGCGCAGAAATTCCGCAGGCTTGAATTATTTACTTTGTAAAAATAATTAAAGTTATACTTTATTCCTTTCATTCGCTAACAAAAAGCTGTTTGTAATTAAATCGTTTAGGTTTTAACCTCCGGTGATAATTAATAATTAGAAACTTAAACGATTTAATTAAAAACCATTTTTTTTTTGTTAGTGAATTTTGCTTTTTTAGATTCAAAAATTAAATATACGAAACAAGTGTTTATGCTTTAAAGGCGCATGAATTCCGAATAAAGATAAAAGTCGAAAATAGCCAAATTAAAGGAATTTATTGAGACATTCGACACTTATAAATATCTGAACATATAACACTTAACGAAACTCGAATTGTAAAATAATATTATAGGAGAAATTATATATTTCGATGTTAATCTTTTATACAGAGAGAAGTAAAAGTCCTTTAAAATATATTTATACTGGATCAACGTGCGCACACTAAAAAGACTCACGCTTTCGCATTTAATTTCAAATGGGACATTTAGTTTTATGAGGTCTGGGTTTAATATGGGTTTATCGTGACTATTTTGTTATCGTTAAACGAATTATCCTGATAATAAGCCGATTATTGCTGGATATTACTTTCCCTAATGCAATAATTAGGCGATAAAATGTACTGATCTAATTTTTTTTATTTTTGGTCTGATACACTCGAAATGTTTCATTCAAATCCAAATTTAATGAATAATTTAAACAATTATTTATTAAACAAGTAATTTCTGTAATTAGTAGTAAGTAGCTTCTTGAAGTTGGCTTCGATGGTTATAGAAGTTTCCTTATTCGCAATTTCCCTGCAGAAAAGAAGTCAAAACAAAAAGCACTTAGACAACTCTTGTTAACTGTATAATTGAATGAAAAAGCACACATTATAAAATCTGTTTTCCCACGGTAAAGATTGTAAAAAAGGATCCTAAACATTCATCGTTAGGATTACACTGGAAAAGGCTTCTCTTCGGGGTTTCGAATTCTCATTATTTGCCACAAATTATGTATTTTGTGCGTGTGAAGCCTCTAAAAGTGTCGAAGAAAACCAGTTATATCACAAATATACACCTGATAATCCTTTTTTTCGACTTTCGAACACATTGTTAAAGATTTGTTCAAGTTACCAAAAAGCCCCCAATATGGTAGGAAACGAGGTTTTCTAATTTACTTTACTTATCAGTAGAGAGGTTTTTAATATTTGTCCAAGGCATTGTTGCTACTCGTCTACTTGCAGTGTGTATATGTGTCTTCAACTGTCTTCCTTAGTAAACGTCGTATAATTATTATCAGGAAAAGGGGTGCACTTCTTTTGTTCGGGTTAATTTTTATTTCATTTATGGCATTGTTGAGATACCCCTATGTATATTTACTTCCTTTTCCTCACCTGTGCTTGCCTTAATCATCCGAATGGAGGAATCCAAAGGAAAGGGAGAGAGGTCGTGCAACGGAATATTTTTCTTGAACGGAAATGGCGTGTGTGTGTTGATGATCTTCCGCCTTCGTCAACGGGTGCAACGAACATTTGTGAACTGTTTCTTTTCCTTTTTTTAAGGTGGAGGTTTTGCCTGGTTACCCTAGGGGGAGAATTTAACGCAAGGAATATTTAGCAACGTTTTCTAATGTTAGATTCAAGAGTTGATAGTGAAGTTATTATGTTTCCTTCTGTTTAAGAAAAGTACCTGAAAGTAGTGTCGAAAAAAACTCCCGAAAACTTTTCAGAGATAGAAATGTCACTAATTTTACTTCTTTTCTTCCTTTGTGGAGTTAAATTTTTTTTAATCTAGAATCTTTGAGAAGATGGTTTGATTTTTTCGGTTTTGGGAAGACGCTTCGGGGACTTTACAATTATTCTTCAGGTCCCTGGAGTTGGCGTCTACCCTCAGGAAAAATATTCTACAGGGTTTCTAGTGAAGAATACATCAAGAATTTGGTAGTTTCACTTCAACTAGACTGCTAAAACTATTCGGAGAACTATTAAAAATTTAAAAACCTTGAAAATGGTTTGATTTTTTCATTTCTTGAAAAGAGTCAGTATCCTTATGAAAATTCTGATAATATCGAAATCGTAATTGATGTTTTAGGATTAAAACCCTAATGTTATTTACACTTTTGAAGTTAATAAAAGAATAAACAGAATATTTTCTAAATTTCGTGATGAGATTTCTCTTCTTTTTTTCCATATAGACGCGAGTGGTCTATATTAAAAGCTTCCCGAGATTTTTCCACATGAATGA